TCGATTGCGCAATTATTGTGACATAGGCATTTAGGGACCCGTTGGAAATAAGCTTGTATAGCTTTGATGGATCATCCCAAGGCAAAGCGACAACTATAGACATACGTACTATAACACTACTATCTTGTATCTTATAATATAAATGTATATATATATAATCACTTTGTAACTATACGTGTAAATTGTAGGTACTGTACTGTTGTCTTTTTGCCTGAATAAATATTATTATTTTTGATATTGGTTCGCGTTGCAAGGTAATTGTAGGAATAGAAAAGAGAAAGATAAATTTATATCAATTTCATTTTTGTTAAATCAGTTTTATGTTCAGAGTTATAATTAAAATAAGGTCAAACAAATTTAGGAAAGCGATCACGTTGTCATGGTACTTTGATTATCACTAAAGTTAGTTGCGGATATAGAGCACCTATGCTCCATGCCTTTCACTTACGGAAAAATAAATTCTCCGATAGATCAGGTCCTAGGACTTTTCGTCCTGGATATGAACGGAGCGTGGTTTACACATGTTACTGGTATAGAGCTACGCTCTTATTACTGACTGTTAAGGAATCACACTAGTACAGAACTCTTAACAGAGAACAGGTTGTGGTAAAAAAGTCTCAATGAGAGTACGGGAGTAAGGGAGATAACTCGTAAACTTTTGTCACTAAGCGGATTCTACTACAGCACTAAACATGTACAGAACTTAGTACTACAGCACTAAACATGTACGGATTCTACCGAGAGTTCGCTGCAACATTTACATGTTCTTTTGATTAAGCTCACAATGCTACACCTTCTTATGAACCCCACAATAATACATCTTCTGATTAACCTCATAACGCTACACTATCTGCTTACCCCTTCTGATTAATCAAAACAAGAGGCCCAAGGGGACTGCGTTGTTCACCTGGCTAATTAATCTATTCAGTCATTTAACAATGAATTTTAAATATAACAAATAATTTCTGAATTTCCCTATTGGAAAGTACTTGTGGAAAGGCCTTGTGGTTAAACAGATCAACTATTCATAAAAAATGTTTCAGATCAAACTTCGAAAATTCCATTGAACAGAAAGAGGATTTTTAAGAACTTGCATTTCCAAACTTGGGTCCAGCATACTTGCCCCAAGAGGCAGATCAAACTTGAGCAAATCCTGTCATTTCCACATGAGGAGTAGAATTTAAAGGAATTTGCTTTCGCTGTAGATTCAGTTCTGTACATGTTTAGTGCTGTAGTACTTAGTTCTGTACATGTTTAGTGCTGTAGTACTTAGTTCTGTACACGTTTAGTGCTGTAGTACTTAGTTCTGTACACG